TTATCGCTATTTTCTATTCTTTTTCCTCTTCCAACCTGATACTTTAGAAACCGAAACTATACAGCTCTTTTTCCTAAATGTTACAAAGTACAATCATGAAATGAAGTACTAGATTTTAAAAGATTTATCCTTCTATAAAATTTTTTAATGGAAAATTAAATTCTGACTGAAGTTGCTATTATTTTTTATATGGTCTCAAACCCTCAAATTTTATTTTATATAACTAGCAAGATCCTCAAAAGGAGAACACTGGAATAACACTATAGTGGGTTTCATTGTTCATTCATAGAATAGAAGCTCTTAAAGTCTACAATATACTAAAAAAACCACCTCCACCTACAGAAACTCACATTTTATATTTTGTGTATTTTTATCCTTCATTCTATTTTTTCATCTTTAATGAGCATGTTTCAAATCACAGCAAATTTATAGCTATTCTATTTTAGGTTAATCTGACCCAAACTATCAAGTATTACTCTCAATTACTTTTCCAAAGAGAATTGCAAAATATAAAATATCTCTGTAAACATTAGTCCTTTAAAAAAACAATACTCCATATATAGGCATGTTAAAAATGTCAGCTACTAGAATATTAAGATTTTAGTGGAAGTAAGATTGCTGGTCTGGAAGATATACAACTTTCATATGACAAAATCTCCTGTCTCAAATTTCTTACAAAATCCTACATATGACCACAGAACATGTAACACAGACTTATAGTGAAAAAAAGGAAAAATGAGTCTATTTTTTACTACAAAGTATTGAATGCAAAACGTTTTGGAATATGCCTTATTTACTTTTAAAAAAGACTAGGGAAAAAAACAGGTCAGCTTCCAGTGATGCGGGATTTAGCCCAGACAATGAGAATCTTCCCATTGTTTGTAGCAAGATTTAAATTTGACACTGTACTAGAAAAAGGGAATTATGCTCAGTGCAAAATACCTCCATACGTGTGTGTGTGTGTGTGTGTGTGTGTGTGTACCTGTTTGTGGGGAGGTGATGGATGGGGAATGTGTGTGTATATATGAATACACAACCATACATATATAAACACACAATTATTAAGTATAACAGGGTTAGCAAGCAGTACAAGTGAAATGATTCTGCCTTTCAGACAAGGCTGGCTTTACTGTTAGTGGGGATTGGTTTTATTATACTACCACATACACTTCCATAAATATTGCTGATAAAGGTAATATGCAAGAAAGGAACATTTTTCTTACTCCGATCGAAGATGCAATAATCAAATCATAAAACACAAAACCAATAGCCAATCAATGTGAGTAAGTCTGCCCATAGGCTTAATTCAAGCAAGCCATTCACTGAGCTATGTGATGGATCTGTCAAATCCAATACAGCATTACAGACATACTAGCAACACCAAGTGAACATGCAATGACAAAATGACAATACGCCCCACTGCCATGCTTTGACTTGTTCTACTGCACAAATATGAAACTTGATGACTTTGCTAATTTCTCTGCCTTCAGACTTGGACAGAAATCTAAGAACTCTATTCTTATTTTTTTTAAAATATTACATGAATGCTAAATAAAAGGTGTACATACATTTTATTGACATCTGATTTATTGTCTCTTGCACAATCTCACAATTATTTTTTTCCAAACACTCTCAGTTTAAAGAGTTCAGCAACAGGCAAAGCTCCAGAATGGTGAAGAACATACGTAGACCACAAGGTCCCCTTTTATCAGTTATAAGAATTAGAAAATTTATCAGAAAGACTTTAAATATTGCAAAGCTAAACATGGGGTTTTTTGATCCACTTCTGAAAAAAGCTTCAAATCTTTAAGTGCAATTTAGTAGGATGATAGATCTCACAGTATAAAAATTCAACTCTAATTTGTTTTTTTGCTGATTACATTGCTTCATAACTAGAACAAAATGTACCTGTTTGTTCTGTTCGTTTTGTTTGACAATCCTAAGAAATGACTGGAGAAATCGGCAAGGTTTACCCTGCGCAGGGAGATTGGTTTTAGGAGCACATGATTTGTCTTGACAAATACTTAGGGGTTTGCATTGATTTGTTTCATGAGATTTCCTTGCCACCTAATTCTCCCCTCTATATCTGTTCTTTGCTTATTTCCAGCAATATTTGCAGCTGTGACAAACAAGGATACCATCGCATCTCTACACCAGAGAGCTCTCTTACAGTGATCATTATCCATTGACTCGGTGTATTGATTCTGGAGTCCTAAATCTTTCTGTTAACCTTTATTTTTAATTTACCAAAACATGACTCCAATCTAAAGATTTCCTCTTTCCATCTCCTGACTTAAGAAGCATGTCAAATATGGAACATTGCCATTCATCATGTATATGTGCTGTGATCAAAAAAAAAAAACCCGCAAGCTTTTTTTAATATTAAAAATTAATATGAAGTATTATTTCCATTATATGTCACTGCTTCAATAGTACATACTCATTGGTCCTCACTTCATTTTTTCTGGATGTTCTTTACACATAAACAGTAAATATATTTCACGTGTAATTAAATTAAATAGGGGCTCAAATCAACACTGAACAGGAGTAGCATACAAGGAGACAGGGAATCTTCAAAACTGTCAGAGGACAGCAGATGATTATTACATTGGAAAGATTCAAGTGGTTGCACTGAAAGGTATTTCAGCACTTTTCAATATTAATAATTCACACAAGTTGCTAAATTAAATTCATTTAAAAATGAATAAGGTAATCACATTAAGCAAACTGTAGTTGTGAGTAATTAGAGGTATCCATGTTTGCACATAGTTTCCCAGAAATGTTTGAGCAGATTGTTATTTGGTTTGTTTTCTATGCTAGTTTTAAGATGCTCTCAAAGAAATTCAGTTACAATATTTGTAACTAAGACAAGAAACTGTATTCGTTTGGGGGAAGCAGATTGAAGATGAGGGTTAACCATATTTAAAAAAAAGAAGCTAAACTAAGAAGAAAAACAAACCCAAAAGATGTAGAATTCATTTAAGATATTTAAAATTATGCAAGCAAAGACAGGTTATTACAATTCTAATTATACACAAAGTGTATCTGGAAATTAGACATTTTTTCAAAAAAATAATTAAGGGTTGTAACAACTGAATTACTACCGATGCCATCTCAAGCTTCCTTTCCAGAATTTAAGAGCACTATCTTCTTAGCAAATCCTTTACTTTTTTTCTCAGCATAACTCTTAGTGATGTTGCCTCTCTACCCATAGCGGAACATGTGACCAACTCATGTTTTATCTTACAGCATTTGATTTATTTTATGAGAAGGTACGTTACTTCATAATTAAAGCATTTAAAGTTCATCTTGATATCATTCAGTTTCCCTATGTAATGTATAGGTTTTCAGATACCCATTTATTCATAGAAATAAACACCCTACAAAAGGATCCAGGGACAGCTAGACGATATCTGGCAAAAAAAGTACTAACCACAGGAGATTTAGTATAATTTTGTCCTTTCTGTTTAGTAAATTTTTTAGAAGCAGGAATTGTTTTGCATTATATGATCACAGAAGACTACTAGAGCTGCGACATGCTAACACACCTTTGTGGAAATGAAATGAAACTACCCAGTAGCACTTCAGCTTTGTAGGTTACCCTAAGTAGAAAGAGCACATCGGGAACAAAGTGCATACAGCACATCTCTGGTTGATATTACTGATCCAAAATCAATAGAAAGTAACTTGCTTACCTGTCTGACACAGCATGCCTCAGCCATACATGCAAATTATTTTATTCACATAACTTTAAAAAATATCTCTTCATTACCCAGAATAAGCATTTGAAAGGCAAATATGCATGCATAGCATTGTAACATTCATACCATGGTACTTTGTTCTAAAGATACAGAATCCATGAACAGCACTTCACTCTAAGAAACAGTTCACTGAAATTTCTCAAGCTATTGATTTCTTTAATAAACAGAAACATTGAAAACAATGTCTAATTTAACATCTGAAGAAATTTTTTGATACATGTTCAAGACTTAAGAAATTATTTCCATGTTTCCAAGGGAAAATTTTTGAGAAATGTGACCTTACTTCTCACTGCTGTTGTGAAGCAAAATATATGCATATGTCTTTCAAGATATACACCCTCCCTTTACCACTGTACACTTTAAGGACTTGAAAATTATTAAAGATGGTTTTTGTTAGGGGTACACTTTCTGAAGAAAACGTAGGATACTCTTTTTTTTTCATTACAAAATCATGTCCATACCCTGCAAAGACTTAATTTTATGCAGTTTGACAAAATCCTACTCCTACTGAAGTCAATAGCAATTTAGACATTGACTTCAAAGGGGTCCCAGTTTTCATCTTGCAAGAAGACAAGTTAATTTATGTGACGTTGCTTTTAGTTTATAGAAGTTAAGTCTTTGCCTGTTTCTCGTATGCAGATTTGAATAATCTTCTATTCCTGGTATTATTTCCACCAAATGTGGTTTACAGTGTGAGGATAAAAAAACAGAGCAAAAGAAGAATAACCAACTTAATTTTTTTTTTCAGTGTTTCAAAAATCAAATGCCTAGAAAGAAAGCAAATGGGGAAAAAAATACTGTTTTGCCTTAGACAGTTCAAGCTTAGACACAGTTCATTCTCAATTTCCACTGACTAAAACAATGTCAATGAGAACTGAGGGCACTCAATATGTTCAGGTTCTAAATCAACTGAAATAATACTCCTAAGACGAATAATGATCTTTAGTAGCAGACCATCATGAAGCTGTACATATATTTATCTACATTGCACAAGGGTCACGGACACTAACTGGATGATCTACAGCCTGGGAATGTGCACATCTCATGCCTGATTCTCAATTAAGGCCTGAAATCTCTCAATTTATGGCTATTCATGGATTATAATAAAACAGCCTGCTTTAGATATCACAATTATCTGCAGAGCAACAAGACAGTTATGAGACTTCAACAAGGCAAATTTATAGAACCATCTTCAACTTCCACTGGTCAGATATTGATGAGCAGTAAAGGAGGCCTTACCTGTCACTGTAGGCAGCTGCAGTGGCAGTGGCAGGCTGGGCATACCGGTAGGCAGCATAACCACCCTGAAACACAAACTCACGCTCTAACTGGGTTGCTACAGCACCTTAAACAACAGTTTGCAAAATCTAGCAACAACCCGAAGAGTAAAGTCATGCTGTAAGTTCAGTTAAGGGGTTAAATCCATAGGACATGTTTCAGTAAAATGTTAAGCAAAATTTATCGCTGCATACTCGAGCTTGTTAAGATTTGTCCCAAAGATCAGGAGAAAGCAATGAACTGTATTCATCAATGTAAGTTTTTTTTTACAAGACTGTGTCCTTCCACAAGTTTTCAAGCAGCAATTATTCTTATGAACGAGGAGTATGTATTCCAATAAAGCGATGCCAAACTTAAAAGCTCAGCTACTAATCAATTCTTTTTTGTACAAAACATGATTTATCATGTCTGGTTGATTAAACCTATGAATTTGTGCACTCAATTAACACTTAATGTTACATAGTTTTCCAATTTATACACAAAATTATAATGAAGAAGCAAAATTCTCTTCTTTCATGAATTAACATTCAGTTGTATGTAACAGTAATTGCAGATGTTCAATTAAGCAAACAGGACAAACAAACACACATTTGAAAGGAATTGTGTGCAGTGATGCATTGATTATCAAACTGTGAAAACAGCAGAGCTTCCTGTTCAATGGACCACAGTGTTATATCAACCATTTCAAAATGATCTCAGCATGCCAATTAACAAACACAGGCCAGTCTCCACAGATAACACAAACACAATTTACGTCCCAATTAGAATCAGCACCCCATCATCCTCTGGGACAGGGGACTTTTGTATTTCCTTTCCCACCTTCCCCCACCTTAACAAAGAGTTGGATAAGAAAGTATCAGAACACTCAGTTTTGAATAAAATTCGTTCTTTTCCTTAAGTGTTCGCTTTAATGCACTGATTTCTAAAAATAATATTATTTTTAATTTAATTTTTCTTTTTTTTTGGAAGGCTGCATTCACACATGGCATTATGCTGAAACATGAAGAACAGGCTACAATGTGTCAGGCTTTACTGTAGCACATTTTTACTGCAGGAACTTTTGTGGGTTTTCTATTTTGCTTTTACAAATAAAAATTCACTCTTTTCAGAAAAGCAATTTCAACAACTTTTACAAGCTATTTCCCCTTCTGCTACTTTGCTTGGTGGCATCGCTTACATCCCTAACACATGTAAGCCTTTGCTGGTTTGAAGATTTGGAGTAGGTTGGTTTTGGAAATCAGTCATTTGCGGGTAAGGCCACGTCACCCTAAGAATAAATGTAAGTTTTATATAAACTGACAGCTCATTAGAAACTCCAGCCTTTGAATTGTCAGCTCACTTGAGGAACACACTGCTTTTTTTCAGCACATTTGCCTCCCTGCTCCTGGTCAGCTTCCTGCCAGCAGCAGTTGCCACACACCCACTGGAATGAGGCAGCTGCTTTCTGAATTCTGTATCTGCTCTCTCATTCGCAGCAAGCTGCTTTTCTGTGCAAGCACAGAATCATGATGATGAAATACATTCTCACTTCAGACCATATGATTTTTATAAACCAATAGAAGGGTATTAGAGTCACAGAAAGTATGAGGCACATACTGCTTGCAGGTATGTGCATACAGGCAATCAGATGTCAACTGTCAAACTGAGCCAGGGAACAGCGAGGCTGAGAGCTGCTCACGCAAGCTGCACACTTGGTCTGGCTTCTGCTGCTAGAGAGAGATTATACAGATTTATCTGTTCTCCCCTCCTGATTTTCAGTGCTAAATATAGCATCTTTCTTTTTCTTTTCTTTATTTTTCCTTGAGTGCTGACATAAGGAAGTACAAATGGTAAAAGTATAAAGGAGATATTAAATTTGCTTTCATGACCCAGTCCTGCACACGTGTGGCCGACTGCAAGTCATCCTGCGATATAACATGATCCTCTTCACCATGTGTAGGACTCCCTTGCTTGCCTGGTTGTCCATTTCTGAAACCCCTCATTTGAATGGCTGAGCCACTTCATTTCAACCCAGCTAAGCACACAATGCATCCCCCCATGGTCCAGAATTGAGAATGGGTCACCATGAGAAGTGCCAATGTTTCAGTGTTCTTGTTCAGACAAAAATGACAGGTTGTTCACACACTTGTCTTAAGTCTGCAGATGGTAGGCTCTGTGAGGATTGTTTTTCTTTCCTTTATTTAACTATGACTAAAAACTGGTCAGTGTGTGAAGGCAGACCCTTTCTTGCTCCCTAAATATAAGGGCTACCTCCTTTTAGGCTTACATTTTTGTTTGCTTTCATCAAGGAGTTGCTACTGAACAGTGAAGCTCAACTCTGAGCTTTATTAAGATACTTCGGACTCAACATTCAGTATGGCATTTGTGAGAGTCCTGGAAAGACTAAAGTCTTAGAAGTCTAAAGGAATAAAAAAGAGAACAAAGTTATAGAATTTGCCTGAATTCATTGGAGAACTAAAATGCAGCATGCATTTGGTTACAAGGAAAAGCAGAATTCCCTAACAATCCATGTCATGATTTCGTATTTTTAACATAAGCTGCCATAAAAACATTCTTAAGCAAGTTATTTTTATGGGGCTTGTGTTCTGAAGTTTTAGTTTGGAACTAAGTTTTCTTCTTGTTTTACTTCAATTACTTCAGGTGATTTATTATTGCAGCAACAAAGTACTTGAAGGTAGACTTTATACTGGGAATCAGGATGGGAATCTGATTCAAATCTCTGAACACTAAACTTCTTTGGCAAACTCTACCTGGCCATTTTTTGCTAATTTTGAACTTGGCTGATATCTTTGATTAAGTATATACTAGTAATATTCACTACATAGTGATCTCTTGAGTAATACATTAGATATTTATATTCATGCCTTAGACTACATTCCAAAATAAAATATTTAGAACAAAATTATGTAATAGTTACATATCAGTAAGCAACAATATTCAGTTGCTGTGTTTTAGGAATTATTTTTTTCCCTCCTCACACCATACATTCAAACAGAAAGTACCTGACCTTTATGCTTTAAATTATTATTTTGAAAATTCATCTGAAATAATAAATTCAGTTAAAATAATTTTAAAATGTCTACTGCCTTATCTGTGCTCCCATATTTGCTACTTCCAAAATAATAATAAGTGTTACGGCAGCTTAAGTTGCCTTAAAAAATTAAGCATAGTCTATACACTCACAGTCCAAATATAGAGATATATCTCACTAGCATCAAATACTGAACAGGACACACAACAGTAACTGTTGTATTTCATGGGATATGAAGAATATCTGTGATCTTGTGATAGGATCTGGAAAATAAAATGCAACTGGTAGACTACTCTTATCATTTATACACACAGAATCCATTTTCTCACATAATTATTTGAGTATTAGTATGATCTTGGAACAGTCTACAATCAGCATAATGAGTTTTTCTATCAATTGGTATGTCATACCTGTGGTAACTTATTGCCATACACAGGCTCTTGCAATACTGCTCTATAAAGAAACAGAAATGTAATGATTTAAATGAGGAAGGAAAGAAGGATAGAAAGAAAGATGTAAGGAAAGAATTTAGACAAATTCCCCAGAGCCACTCATTACAATTTTTCCTTTCAATGTTTTCTAGGTCTCTGGCTCGGGTAAATTGCAAAAGAGCAGTGAGATCCATGAAAGATCAGTAGCCAATTGTTAGAGAGAAATTTTTAGAAAGAAATCACAGAAATTTAGATAAGATATGATAAAATTGAAATGAACAGAAAATCAAATGCATCTGAATTTTTAAATAAACTCTGTATATCTGTAGGAAGAGTAATTTCCACAAAAAATGAGTTAGACAAATGCACATCTATAAATTTCAGAATACATGTGTGCACTTCCTCCTGCAATACCTAAAAGTTATTTTTTTGTCTTGATCTCAGATGTACTGGCAGTATTTATTGTAGATCCAGATAAATTAAGTGACTCTACATGAGAGAGATTTGTTCTGCTCACACAGTGAAAGTTTGACTGGGAGAATTAAAAATAAAATATCCAACACCTCTCTGTGACAGCTTAACTTATGGAACAGAAGTTGTGAAAGGGTGATGTTATTTCTGCATTGTGTTCCCAGAGGTATCTGTTGCCTCAGAGAAGCTCTTGCTAACATATCCAAACTGACACCACCTATGTTAATTCCAGCCAAATGCAATCATCAGGACTGACCTAGCAGTTTTTGAATGTACAGTTTATATCACAAACTGGAAGAGAGAAGATTTAGATTAAATGTAAGGAAGAAGTTCTTCACTTCGAGTGTGGAGAGACACTGGCACAGGTTACTCAGGGTAGTTGTGGATGTTCCATCCTTGGAAGTATTCAAGTTCAGGCTGGATGGGGTTCTGAGCAAACTGGTCTAGTGGGAGATGTCCCTTCCCATGCCATGGGGTTTGGAACGAGATGATCTTTAAGGTCCCTTACAACCTAAACCATTCCATGATTCTATAAAGATCACAGAGATGAAAAGACATTTCATCACTAGGTCTCTAAACTTTTAAGGTATCATAAAGTGTTCCAGCACATACAGCACTAGGGAGGAACAGCCCACTGCTCCCTAGGGACTCTTCTGCCCTTGAAAAACTAATTTCTCTACTTGTTCTGTTTCTGTGAGTCACAGGAAATGGCAGATCCTTCCATTTACAAAACACAAAAATCCTGGTACTTAAAAGAAACTCCAGTGCTAACTGCATATCCTTCCTTCCCACATTCAAACAACGTCTTTCCAGGTGCCTGATTCACTGATGGACTTCTACCTAGTATCAAGGGAACATTGCTTAGATAATTATACCTGCTTTGTCCTTGGGAAATAAATCCATGCTCCATCCTCAGTGCTATCCTACCTTTGAGCTAAAGGTCAGTAGCTATCAGTAATCTCGTTCCATACCCCTGATCACAGAAGTATGACTTTTTGTGATTGGCAGCTCAGAAAAAAAAATAAAATCTTAAACCTATGTGTTGTTGTGGACTTTCACCGGTTGGAGTATCACAGGTCAAGAATCCTGAGAATGGGTTAGAAAATCTTGCTGTGAACAATAAAATTGACTAATGTACATGCTTAAACTTTATTACCAAGGGACTTCTGAAGCTGATGATTGAGTTTGGAAGTTCCTCATATTTCTTAACCTTCCCATGTTTTAGGTGTGGATTGAAGACTGACATGTTCTCAAAACATTCCTTATGACGGTTGTAAAAAAAAATAAATTAACAGATCTAAGATAAAGCAGAGCAATAGTGTAGAGCTATTATTCTAACTGCATATTTCTGTGTCTGCTACTATTTTTCCTTTATTTTCTGCAGTGTATTTTCTTATTTTCACAGGTGCCAATCTTCATCTAGTAACTTCTATATTTGCTGGCAGGCAACCTTAATTCTCTTTTAATGACTTTTTCTCTTAGTGAATCAATACTTAATTTTAAAAGGTCTTCCTTTACTTCCTAATCGCCTCCTTTATTTTTCCTACTCAAACGCACATTTAAAAAGGAATTCAATAGCTCAGCTATTTCACAAGCATTATTGCATTCCACATAGAACTATATGAAACACAGAATATATTATATTACATCCAGAATCGTGGCTGTCGATTTTTCATTTTAGACTGTGCTTTCCACCTATTTTTATATTCTGGTTCCCGCCTGTTCCTCTGGTTAGTATCAAGCAACTCTGGCTCTTTGCTGTTCTTGGCTCCCCTTGCAGTTTTTACCCAACCAGTGTCTTTCTGCCTCTTCCTTCCTACAAAACGCTGCCATCAAAGGTTATATTGACAACTAGTTGTGAAAAGACTAGCATGGTCCCTATTACTGTTGATATTCAATGTAATCATATCAGAATGAAACCCACTTTGATATACTTGCTAATGCCTATTTTTGGTTTGGCTTCAGTCTGTGTTCCTTTTGTTTTGCTTTCTGTGGTGTTTTTTCAGGTTTCTTTCTCTCCAACCCACTATTAAAACCTATATTGTTTACATTTTTTTCTCCTTTTTTTTTTTTCCTTCACAAAGCATTCATTCTCTCACAAAGCTTCAGATTTGCACTTAAAAGGAAAAGCTGAGTAGAACTATGACATAATCAATTTGGATTTAATAAATAACTTGGTCCACTGCAAACTAATACACTAAGAACTAATACACTGTGAATTGTAAGGTTTCTCTTGATTCATGCCAGTTCTCTCCCTCCTTCCCCTGCAAAATGTTTTATATGCAAGAGAGAACAAACATGAAAAAAAAAAAAATGATAAAAATAAGAAGCTTTGTACATTATAAAAAAAATTAAACAAATTTCCAGAAGAGCGCTTTAATTCTGTCAGCTGCAGTAAAGGTAAACATTCTGCTGCACCAAGAGAACTAAGAAATGCAATCAGAAATACAAGGCTGCAACTGACTGAAAACCTGTGTACCAGCAGAGTTATTCCATTTTTCTAAGGCACATGACTATCGCAGACAACAAACCTGAGGCTATACTGGAAATCAGTAATTTCTTTGGTGTCTTCCTTATTGAAATCACTTTCCATTTAAAAAAAAAAAAAAATGTTAAAGTCTTTGAGAAGGTGTGAGGCCACCTAAAAATAATATTGTCAATCCCCAAAAGAGACTTTCCTGGGTTTCAGCAGCGGTGGGTTCCAAAACTGCCAACTGTGACATTAGCATTTAGTTCCCTATACTATCACATTCAGCAATCCTGAGAAGGATGTCTTGTTGCCTTTCAGATTCTCAGGTTGGTAAACTGAGCAAAATGAATGGCACATTCTTTTGACAGTTTGAAGAAATAAGAAATTGGAAACCACACCTGAAAAAATGCCACAAAATACCATGTAATGTAGATAGCTCAAAAATTCAGCAGCAACGTGTTGAAGCAAGATTAGGTCAGCATACTACAGTTGAGCAAGCCTTTGGCAAATGAGTGGTTCTCATGTATTGTAAACAATATGTTACTGATAACACCCCTAAGTACTTAAGTGCATAGCCCATACTCCTCTATTTTAAATATAATTTTAATTTACACAAAAGAATTTTCAGGTAATTATCAGCATCCTTCTACTTCCATCAGAAATAACAAAACCTACTTCATCCATAAATTCGAATTGTTTTCCTTCTTGATATGAAACTTATTTAAAAAGAATCTGTTCTCTCGGAAATAGTTCTAAAAAACTGCTGATAATGAATACAAGGATTGTTTTTCAGCTCTACCTCTTGAATTTTTTAATATTCATACCAATTTCAACTCATCCATCTCTGTATCTGAACAGAGAAAGTACAACAGAAGTACAAGTAGGCTAGAGAAAGCTGTCTGGTGAAACAAAATGATATCTGTAACTTAGGACCAGACTGCTTTATCAAAATAATAACCAATGTGTTATTGGAGTATCAATAAAATATTTTACATCTGAATACAGTGTATAAGAATTATTTTAGAAGAGTGAAATTCAGCCTCAAGCACCTGAAATCTCTTGCATACTCAGACATAAGTAGCTTCTTTGTTTACATTCAAGGTTAAAACTTCAGTATTTGTAAGAAAATGAAAAAAATATTATTGAAAAGGAAATCGGTGACCAATGAGGTGAAGTATGTGGTGATGGATCCAGGGCTACAAATCCTTACTCACATATATAACCACTTCTTCTATCATGAGCAGTCTCTACTCAGCTCATTTAAATTGAAATAGGTGGATTTTGAAAGAGCAGATCAAAATCATCTCAGTTTGCAGATAGTGCATAGTCATACCTTAAACTTCCTGTGCAATTAAGCTCTGCTGTCACCATGGCACTTACGTATGCCCAACGTTGCCTGGATTTGGGAAATCTATCTCTCTTCATGAAATATTTTTGTACTTCAGGTATTAATAATACTCAGCTTGACTTGATTTTTAAAAAAATCAGCTTTTGGGGATTTGCAGAAGAATGTTTCTGCTTTGTTTTTATTTTTCTTTGAACTTCAATTTTGAAGGGAGAAGCCCCTCCACACACGCACACACATTTTTCACATCTTTTTGCATTCATTCAGCATTTGATTGAAGAGTTAATTCAGCTCCACTGAACAATGATAGATGTAATGAACAGAAAGTTCTTCCAATGTGAGAGATATTCTTCTCAATTCTTTCTGACAGGCAAGGGATGGTAAATAGACAAAACAGAGTCAAGCTAGGCAGCAAACTTGTAAAAAGAATGACTCTGGTAATGTACAAGGACAGCATGCACATCAATGAATACTTACATAAATGTCTGCACCATAAAATCCATCCTGGTATACAACACTGCAAGGATGCACACACAAAGAAAAACATCCATATTAGTGCATTTCCACATGCAAATGCCACCAACCCCTGCACAGCTGAGGTTAGTCTTGTCACAAGAACAGAGGGAGGGGGAAGGAAGGCACTCTTCACATTGGTTAAGGAGGTTGGTAATAATTGCCAGAAGTGAAAATGTCCGGAATACAACATCTTATAAGGTAAGCCAAATGCTTAGTCATAGAGGCATGGCAGGATTGGAAAATAATTCTGATAAGGTTCAAGGGATGGGTTTCATATTTTTTTTTTAAATTTTTTTAAATTTTTTTTTTTTTTTTAAGAAACCACATACTTGATGCATTTTTTCCAGAAAAATTTTCAGTGGGCAAATCCTATGATGAGATTTAATACATTAACAACATGCTAGCTCTTGAACTACTACTTTCTTGCCCTGCAATTAGGTCAACCCTCTGAAACAAAGTGGTAGTTGCCATTACTTAGATGGAAAACAAAACACACAGTAAGTTTATATGGTGAGAGGAATGGGTGAAATAATTATACTGATGGAATTGTACCCACTGAGTCAAATGTCAACACCTCAATGTACACAGAGATGAGAGGATTCACAGGTATTGCATTCTTGGCTTGATACACATTTCTGACAGTGACAAGTCTGTTAGGAGTGCCATGGCGTTGCTCTAGTTTTAAAAAGTATTAACCTTCCTCACTTCATCATTGTGCAACTTTGGTGAACATGCCAGTGGTTCTGAGCTCGCCTGCAGTTTTAATTGGATACACTACTACTCCTTCTCTGAAAAAGGTAGTATTGTTAACAGTTTGTAACAGTTTTCTAAGAGACTGCTGCACTTCAGCTAAGACAAATTGTCAGTGTAAATAGTTCAAATTTTAGACTCTGAAGCCTTCAGGATAAATGACACAGTACAATGAAGACGGTGTCAGTGATTATGTTAGGTAAAACTGGAACTACACAACAGCAGCCTACCAACTACATACATTACGTTAACTCCTCCATTTTCACATTCATTTTCACATTCATAGGCAATTTACAATGCCTATTTCCAATATCTGATCAACCCAAGCTGTTTCTAGAGCTAAATATGAGAGCACACAATAGGTTCTTTGCAACATTATTTTCAGTTTAGGAATACTATTATCTGGGAATAATAGTGGTTAGCAGGTTGCTAGCCTAAGCTGTTTTGCAACTGCAAGAAGAATTTCATGTCAGAAATACAACTGATCTATTGGGGTCAATGAGCAGAACCCACAGGGCTGAGCTGGTATGTGTCCCTTGAGAAAAATCACAAATGTGCATACACACACACAAACCACATTGATAAAACCATACTGATGGTAGAAGTTTGCTATGGAATAACAGTGTGTGAAAACTCAGCTCCACTGAAATCAGAGTGTCTGCCATTTGTTTCAATAAGGTCAGACTTCTAACTCATGTAGTCTTCTATTTAACATGTCTGCAGAGCAAAAGATGGCAACCTTGGTCTGCACTGGCAACTTTCAGAGAGCTTGCTGCTTACATTGCAGTGTACCTTTGTTCTGGTTTTGATACTGATAATTTTAAAATGCTTCTCTTATACCTGTTTGCATCTAAAAAATAAAACATTCCACACGACTGTGAGGTAGAATTACACAATTGTGAGCAACATGGAAGGAGTTTTATGAGATATGAAATGACAAAGTTTTCTGAAGAGGGAGGCCCCACAACCACAGCCCTCAGTTCCTCATATTCCTGCATCACTTGGGTGGGGAGAAGGTGGAAGAGCTGGGAATGAAGAAGTGAAGTTGAGCCCGAGACCTTCCACAGGTTTTTCAGAGAACATTTTTTCTATTCACTGCCCTTGTCATTCATTGACTCCTGTGACTGAATCTTGGCAGTGGAGTCAAATGTATTTTCTAGGAGCATCCTCCATCGGAAGGACAAAGTGTAAAACACCAAGAGCTATATTTTGCTCCTGTGCTTTTCTTTCCTTCAGTATACAATTTTCTAAAGGGTAATTTGCTTGCCTTTACCATCCCCATTTCTCCCTCTGAAGCTTCAGGCAGAAAACATTACAAGTCTCAAGCGTGGGAAGAGCCTGAGTGCATCACAGAAGGACCCATCTCACCACAGGTCCTTTTACACTTTATGTTCAAAAAATTATCTTGGCAGACACATAAATCTTGAGTTCCTTGTAAACCAACACAGGGTCTGGAAATAGCCACGTTACTGAAATCTGAATTACTTCACACAGGAATGAATGATATGTTAATTTGCTACCCTGGAGGCAACGAAATAAGAACAACAAATTTGGGGGATTTATTCAGTTGTATTTTATGATTTCGTTGTGCTAAGAAAAACTCAGAGAAGAGAGAAATCTTGATTTAATAAGAAAATGGGCATCTAGTAACATGATATGTGGCAATCATTTTCTGAAATTATTTTTCTATAAATACGCAACTGCCTTCTCACCAACTACTATACATCTGCTTTGCATGGTTTTAGCTGCTCTATTTTAGTTTCTGTATCTTCTAATAATTTTTTTTGTAATTATATTAAGACAAACTCTTCACTAGTTTAGATTCCAGCTTTCCAATACCCTGGGAGGACGACATCTGTCTTCATTATAATTTTTCTACCCTCATCTTTCAAAAGGATTGGGCTGAATAATCTATCAATGACATAAGAAGACAGTTCCTGACTGCACAAACCTTGGTTGAGTAAGTTCATAGTAGCTGAGTGTATTTGGCCCTCAGCCACACACACAACCCACACAAATTAACATGAATAACCTAAGGCAGATGAAGTGAGTGGCTGACTCCATGGAACCAACGGGCTCTACAATCATGGTTTCATTCACTGCAATAGGAATCAGGGTTATAGTTGGCTGTTTCTCCTCCACCACAACCAAGAGAAAGCACCTCAGCAACAAAAGTTCTCTTTTCTGATTCCTGGTAGGGTCCCCTTCACTGCCCTACACATTTTCCAGATTTTGGTCTTGGAAATCACCGTTTATATGAAATTTTCATGGAATAGATAATAGAAGAGGTGCAACTACAACCTTATTTAAAATAAACCAAAGAAAAGACTGAGAATACAACTAACACCTTTCACCACTAATAACACAAGTTTCACCATTGCAAATAGAGAACTGAAACTTTTCTATGAGGCTGTTTCAGCTTTTTGGAATGTTCCCTAATTCCAAGTTTTTGTCCTTCCAGTTTCAACATTTTCTGCCATAAACAAGTTATTTTATCTGCTTTGGAAAATTAATTGAGGGCATTGCTGCAAAGAACAAAGCTGGAACACATAAATCACTATGTGCTGGCAAAACACTCCTCCTTGTTCTAACAATTCCACATACAAAGCACAGAGTCCAGTGTAAGAGGAAGTTTCTCTGGGCCCAGAGAAATGTACTGGAAAAAACCATAACCACCACAGTAAATGTAGTAGTTTAGATTTATTATCCTTCTTTCTTAAATACAGAATAAGGTGTGGGAAAATAAAGCTTCTTTTAAATTTCAAATCCATTCAAAATGATTCAAAACAATTATTTTAACTAGGGGAAGCAGTTTCTGAATAGAAATGGAGTTC